GTCCCTTCAGGACAAAATCCAGGCTATCGTACAGACAATGGTGGCCAGTTTAGTCGCCGTCCTCCAACCACACTGCAATGTCTAATACAGCCCACCCAAATAATCTTGGGCATGGCATTAGAGGTACAGTGACTGAACTCAAGCACTTCCTCGAGGAAAAGTCAGTCGTTGTTGCTTGTATCACTGAAACTTTCTTATCCCAAAAACTCAAGCTCTTTGTCTCAAACTTCACAGCCTACAGAAAGGATCGTAAAAACTCCGGCGGCGGCGGTGTAGCCATTCTCGTTAGGAACTCTATCAAACATAAGCCTATCCCTTTGACTACCGACCTTTAGAAGCAGTTGGCATTGAAATCATTTCAACTTCCGGCACCGTCAGAATTATCTCATTATACTCCCCCCCAGACGAAGAGAATCTTTCAAACCTCCCACCAAACGTCTTGACTATCGTCGCAAGCGATCTCAATGCCAAGCATATTTCTTGGGGCTGCCGATATAGTAATAGGAAAGGCATTTCCCTTCTTGCCAACTCTCTTAACTTCGATTTCACAATTGAATCGCTCCCAGATCCAACGCACTTCTCGAATTGTCACAACAACCTCGCAGATATCCTAGACGTTTTCCTCACATGGAACGTTAACCTCTCCGCCGACCCTATAGTTCTTAACAAACTAAGCTCAGATCACCTTCCTGTCCAAATCGAAATCGGCCGCCAAATCTACAACCCCCAAAGCTAACATCCTCGTTAGACTCGCTACATCTGGGCCACGCCCTTGAGTCATCTTCTTTTAAGTGCATTCAAATTCGAACAATACAGGAACACGGTGAAGGGGACAATACTCTTCCCGCTGACATTCTTGACCTCCTTAAGAGGAAAAACAAGGTCTGACGTCTGTGGAACAGACACCGTAACCCCGCACAGCGGGTAGAAGTAAACGCCCTCCAACAATAACTAAAAACTCGTCTCACCGAATTCCGCAGCGCATCCTTCAATGATTATGTTGCTCATGCAGAAACACATCCCCGAAGCACTTGGAAAGTGATTCGTTCTCTTTGTAACACAGCTCCCTATCTTTCGCCACTAAAACAGAACGGCTCCACCTGCTCTTCAGACGAAGAAAGAGCTGCAATCTTCACAGAATCTTTATTCCTCCAGTGCTCCCCACAACCAAGTCCAGTGGACCTTGCCAACTTTCATGAGCGTACCAAAGCCGTCTCCCAAAACTTCGTTCCCATAAATTCCAAATTCACACACACTACACCCCGTGAGATCTTCCTTACTATTCGTTCTCTGACAATGAAAATCCCCTGGCGCTGACAGAATTCCCAACCGAGTCCTCAAAGTCCTGTCGCCAAAGCACATCACCGCAATGTGCAATATAACTAACGCTATCATGCGGCTCCACCACTTCCGTTTGGTCTAGAAAGAAGCCATTGTCATCTGTCTCCCTAAAAAAGGGAAGCCGCTCAACTCTCCCTCAAGCTACAGGCCCATCAGCCTGCTCAGTTCGTTGAGCAAAGTAGTTGAATCCATCCTTCTCGATCGGGTCTTAGACCACGTGGAGCAGAACAACCTTCTCCCTGATTTTCAACACGGTTTCCGCAGGCAACGCGGCACCGAACACCAACTCCTTCGTGTTACCGAACACATCTCCGACAAGCTTAACAAGCGGCGTCACACTTCCATGTTTCTTCTTGACGTCCAACATGCCTTCGACCGAGTGTGGCACGATGGTCTTATCACCAAACTCATCGCCCTTAACATCGCACACTTTCTAGTTGGGGTTATTAGGTCCTTCCTCATAGACAGAAGCCTTCAGGTCCGCGTTGACTCTGCTCTCTCTGCCAGTAAACCCGCCACAGCCGGTGTCTAACACGGCTCCAAACTATCCCCTATTCTGTTTAACTTTTTTTTCCCCGGCTCCTAAACTGGTATCGGAAATGGAAACTGTCTATTAACGAGATCACATTGGAGGCAATCTTCTTTTCTCGTAGGCTCCGAAAACCTCCCTCCATCATTGTCAACAACCGCCCCATTAAATGTAGCAGCTCCGTCATATACTTAGGCGTAGTCTTCAACAGGTGCCTAAACTGGCGACACCATGTTACAGCGACCCGTAAAAAGGCTCTGGGTGCATTCATCCAAAATAACACGATCTCCCAAAAGGCCAAAATTCTTGCGTTAAACGAAGTTATTATGAGCATTTGCTCCTATGCCATTCTCGTCTGGGGCTGCGCCCTTTCCCACCGCCTGAATCCTTTGCAAGGTACATACATGCGGATTCTTCGATCCGCACTAGACTACACCTGATTCGTCAGAAACACACAAATTCTGATCGAAACCGGTTTACCTTCTCTCCCTGAGGCTGCAATCACATTCGCGGCAAATCTCCGGAACTCAGTGTCGGGTCACGCTAACCCTACCATCTCGGCACTCTCCAACTTCGCACCGAAACCAAACGACCGTTTCCGAAGGCCGTGTCACCTTCTACAATGAGCTGCTCTCTTTCGCTTACTTCTAGATCCTACCTTCGCTTTTTAGCGCGAGTGTCCATCCAGCAGTTCAGAGGTGGACTACCTTCTACGGTTTTCTCCCCAACACTCCCTTCTACGTTAACCTCTTAACCCATTTCCATCTGAACCCTATCCCCAATCCCCAGTCATCCACTTTCTTTCAGGGGATGAGTAACCCACAGCGTTTATCTACCCGTTCGAGGAGGGGTTTTAGTCGGTAAGAATCCGACACTACCTTCCTTAAGCGGGTGTCTTTTTTCCCCTCGTCGAGTATAATCTAAACAAAAAAAAAGATGAAAAATTAGAACGCTCCGGCTTCTCGCTAGTTTCACAGCTACCTCTAGGTCCCGTAGCTGCTATTAGCTCTCGCAGCTACCGTATACGCCGCCTATAATAACGTCGTCATTCTGAAGCCACGAGCAGGCCGCTCGGCGAAAGAAATACCGCCGCCGCTAGCGTGAGAAAGATCGTCGAATCGCTGCCGCCCGACGCCGACGGCACAACCCTACGGCACGGCCTACCACCCAGGACCTGGACGCAGTCTTCAAAAACTTAAGCGCTGGCTACGCGCCGAATCTGTGTCTATTCGGGACTCCGTAGTGCGCGAGTGAACCAGACTATTTTGTGTTGTGTATAACTGATATAGTGATAGTAAATCCTTTCATGTGTTAAGTATGAATGTGAGTGTGAGTGTAGCTGTAAATATGATGTCCCGCGAATGTATATATATGTGAGATTTTTAAATGGAAAATCTCGAGTTTGGCTTTAATAACAATTAATAACCCAAATTGCCGTTTATTAAGTTTAATCATGAATGCTTACAAAATAGGTTTACACCTGGCAAAAGCTTATTAGAGAATGTCCTCTAACAAAAGAATAATTGAACTAGTAGGTTTGCTTCATTTGGTCTGGTAGTTCCCCGGGATTTTAGTCGTATTCCGGCTGGTCGGCGCCGGAACCATAACATAAACAGGTGATGTGATAGAGTTCGTGAGAATGCTCACATATATATATATATATATGTCCTTATATTTATAACCTGTAATGTAAATAGTTAGTTGTCATTTAATTTTTTTTCTCTATCTTTAAATATACCATTAAAACACAAGCGTACCTTCCTGACATGTAAGTTGGACCCATCACTTCCGTGGTCAAGAAATAACTTTTCCGTCATTCGGCTGCTGATTTCGCTTACCAGGCCGGAGACAAGACCCCGCGCACCGCGACTCAGAAGCGACAGCCCAGAGCGAACGCGACAGTGGCGCCCAACTTGGGGCCTCAAATTGGCAACAGACAATAACACGGCACGACAAGGGAAGAGCTGGACAACAGCTCCGCTAGGAAGCTTTGCCAGGACTCTGGAGGGTCCGACCCTGCCCCATAACCACGGAAGGTACAACAAGCCCAACTTACATCGCATACGCAGTGGACTATCAACCACCAGGTCCAACGGCAACAGCGAGCTCGCGGACATTCTACGTACGCTGACACGTATACTAGAAAAGTAAACTGTAGCTCCTGCCAAGATCGAACGTCTACCAGAGTCGACCATAAGGATCCGGCGGATTTCTTGACGCAAGCAGAAAGGTATTTGAACGAAAACCAGGTGCCCGAGGAAGAATGGGTCGATCTGGTCGCCAAGCAGCTACGAGGACGTGCCAAACAATGGTACGGCATGTACAGTCGACTACGCCTGGGATGAGCCGAGGTCTGCAATGTACTACGGCAAAGTTACGCGCCCGCCGCTGTCATCGCCAGTCTGAGAACCAACATGTACGGCAGCCACCACGAGCTTAGGACACTTGTGGAGCTGTTCCTAAGGGAAAATGTGCTGCTGACGAGGCGTTTGGAACCTCAGATGGCTGAAGCAGACTTGCTTGCGACACTCATTGTGCTCCTCCATCCCAGAGATCGACGTTACCTACGGTCAGCGGGTATCACGGACACAGATACGCTAATTGAAACGGAGCGGGACTTGGAAGCAGATTATAAAGCAGATACCCCAGGCAAAGTGAAGGAGCCAGCTATGCCACCAGCGCCTCCCGATTGCTCACGGCGAGACCCACCGACGGTGCGTCGCCCGAACGCACGCGAAGATAGGCCGACAACCTACGGAGACAGCCAACCGCTCCCGAAATGCCGGTTCTGCCCGGAGTATCATTTCCATCAGCCCCGTTCTGAGAGAACGTTCATCAACGTTGGGAAACGCCAACCCGACCGGACTCTCCCGAAGCGTGGAGTCCAACGAAAGGCCGAACTAAACGCGACCGTACCGCCTCCACGTGTCTCAACGCTGCGAGTACAAGCCCAGAACAGTCGTTGGTACACCGCTCTCCTCGACACCGGAGCCAGTGAGAACCTCGTACGCTATGAGTTGATGACAGACCCCGTCGAGCCCTGCTCTGATCATCTTATCCTGCGGCTCATGGATCAACCCATGGCCGACTGTTTCTACGCTGTCAAAGGCCTAGAGTTCGCATCGAGCGCTCGTACGGTTCGGTCGTACGATGAGCGAGTTGCGCAATGCCACGCCCACCGAGACAACCAATCGCCGGTATTCTATGTCAGGCAGCGCAAGTGAGTGTGTCGTCAACGTGACGGCAATGGACTTTACACACGAGTCCACAAAACGAAAAAGTGCGCGTACGATTAGCTACGACGAATCTGAAACGAATTCTGTTTCAGGTTCCAAAAAAGATAAACAGCGTGATGATGATGAAACCACGCAGGTGACCGGCCCATATCCCGAGGACGTCTTCAGCTGCGACGCCCGACGGCTTTATAAAATGGTACGTCGTTTAATTCCAATGAAAGCGGAAACGATCAAGGTAGCCGACAGGAAGATGATTAGAGAAACAGCGGATGAGATAATGGAACGGCTCATCCAGATAACCGAGATAGTGAAAGAACTGCGACACAACCTAAAATTGAAGGACCAAAAAATCGAGGAAGTACAAAAGGCGAAAAACGTAAGTACCCCGATTTTTTCTTATGCGGAAAGAGTGAAAGCAGGTGGTAATAGTGTTAGTTTTACCCCAAAACCCCAAATCAGCGAATCTTCCCATACGGTACGCGTCCAGGCCAAAGAATCTGATAAGAATGCTAATTTTGTTAAAAAAGTAATAATGCGTACAGTCGATTCCATCAAAAGCAATATATTAGTAAAAAATGTTAGGGCAACCAAATCGGGAGACGTAGTTGTAGATTGCGCAAATAAAGAAGACGCCGAAAAAATTAAATTGACCTTGAATATGAAGGCCAAAAACGATGTAGCGGTTAGGGACGTTAAAAAAACGCTGGCCACGTGTCAGAATTGATAGGATTAGTAAAGAGCTTAACTCAAAAGATTTGCACGAGACTATGTTAAGGCATAATGATTTCATTGACGACTTTTGCGGCAACGATATAGATACGTTTAGGGCTAATTTTAAGCAGCTTACAGTTTTCGAGACCGGCGGAAATAGGGAAATGTATAGCGCAGTATTTGAGGTTAATCCGTCGCTTAGATTAAAAATGTTACATAGGTCGATTTATCTGAATTGGCAACGCGTCTTTGTTAGGGATCATTTTTCTTTACTTCAGTGTTATCAATGTTACGATTTCGGGCACCTTTCCAAGAATTGTAAGGTGAAAGAGCAAATTTGCGGCAAGTGCGGTGGCAAACACCATTTGAAAGACTGTAAGTCAAAAACCACATCTTGTGTTGTTTGCGTTAGGTCCAATAGGGACAAAAAGCACTCTCCTGTTAGCGTAGACCATGACGTGAAGTCGTCGTTTTGCCCAACAATGAACAAGATTAAAAATTCAATCCTTTCTAACATAGATTTTTATGGCTCCTAAATCCACAAAAATCAACCCCGACGCGAATTTGGTATTAAATTTCGGACAAATTAATTTAGGCAAGGGCAAGGCGGCTGCAAGCAATCTTTTAAAAATTATTTCAGATAAAAAGTTAGATATTTGTTTTGTGCAGGAACCGACGGTCAACAAATCTAAAATTACAGGTTTTTCTAAAAATAATTTTATCATTTCGAAACAATGTAATATTCCTAAAAGTGCCATTATTGTTAATAATTTGAACATTAATAATCTATTTCTAGAGAACATTTCAACAGATTATATTGTCATTAGTGAAATTACCTATTTTTCCAAATCGCTTATTCTCGTAAATGTCTATTTACCACCCGCTGGCACTAATGTCGACGAAAACCTCATTTTCGAACGACTTCGAGAAATTGCTCATCAAATAGGTAATTTAAAACCAATTATCTTCGCAGGTGATTTTAATGCTAAACATTACGTATGGGGCAGTCCGATTAACGATAAACTTTCAATGTGAAAAAAACAACGCTATTAGAATCAATAAAAGAGCCGAATATAACCGTGCATTTCGGGAATATAAAGAATTATTAATTAAAACAAGGGGCGACAAATTTAAAGAATTTTGCATGCGTAATTCAAAAAAAGATCCTTGGGGAACGGCCTACAAAGTCATTCGCGGTAAAAAAACTAATAAAATAAGTTTCCAAAATCTAAAACTTCCCGACGGCACATTCACTAAGGACACTACAGATACGGCCGATTTTATTCTACATTCCTTCTTTCCGTCGGACGACCCTATTTCAGACATTCAAGATAACGCGCGAGTTCGCACGGCCGCGAACAATGCAATCGAGTTTGATGGGTTTTTTAAGAATATCACCTACGCGAAAATAGAACGCGCCATCGGCAGGATGAATCCGCGTAAAGCGCCGGGACTCGACGGAATCACTTCCGACGCAGCCCTGGCAGCTTTTAAAGTCGCGCTGGATGTTTTTATCAATATTTTCAATAGTTGTTTTTATTTAGGCGTTTTTCGGTAAAAATTATACTAAAACCGGGTAAGCGTAATTTCGACGACGTATAAAGCTTCCGACCCATCAGCTTGTTACCGATCGTTGGAAAAGTTTTAGATAGAATTTTTACTACTCGATTGATTACAGTTTGAAATTAACAAAAACGGAGGTCTTAATAAAAATTAATTTGGTTTTGTTTCTGGCAGGTCCACCACGGACGCTGTTAATCCACTCATCGACAATATTAAAAACTCTCGTAGGAATGATAACTCCGTCGCTGCTATTGCTTTAGATATCTCCGGAGCTTTCGACAATGCTTGGTGGCCAAGAATTATTTTCGAATTGCGCAAACGTAACATTTCCGGAAATTTAATCAAATTAAATTTTTTTATTAGCAGACGACACTTTGCTCGTCATCGAGGCGCAACAATATAAATCTCTGAAAAGTAAGGCAAACTAAGCACTTGCCATGTTGTCTGATTGGGCGGTAGATTTAAAATTACAATTTAATGCGGAAAAAACGGAAGCTTTATTTTTTGGTAAAAATTAATCAACAGAGACTTGCATTTACATTAAACGGGCGATTTGTTCACTGCTCGGAGAGCATAAAATATTTAGGTATAATGATTGACGAGAAATTTTTATGGAAAACACACATTCAATATGTGGTCAATAAGAGCAAAGAAATTTCGCACAAAATCGCGGCGGCCGCTAGACTCACGTGGGGTTTCAGGGGCGCGGCTTTGGCAAAAATTTACGAGGGCGCCGTACAATCGGCGATGCTTTACGGGGCACCGATTTGGGCTGAAGGTTGTAAAGTTAAAGAATGCAGGTAAAAAAAACAGTAAAAGCAGCGACTGCGTATCGAACTGTTCCATCGGAAGCGGCATTTGTGTTGAGCAAAATTCTGCCGTTTGATATTCTGTTGCAGGAAAAGGCGAAAAGGTACCGCCTAGCAACAACGACCTTGACGGACTCCAGGACCGACAGCTCGAACGACGCGTCAGCCTAGCCGACACAGTACATCCTGCGGACATGGACAACTTCCGGTTTACCGAGGGAGTCTAGGACGCTTAAAACACAGTGATCTATACGGATGGTTCTAGATTGGACGACGGACGGGCTGGAGGATCCTTTATTTTGTTCAACGGAGACGCCGAAATCCATCGGAATAATTTTACCCTCGCGGAACATAGTACTATCTTTCAGTGTGAAATGATAGCACTACGACAAGCACTTACATATATCTCCGAGGGCATTCGGATATAATCAAGGAGTGTTCCATCGTTACGGACAGCCAGTCAGTTTTGACGGCCCTTCGCAATATGAGACAGCCAACTACGCTACAACTGGAGACGTGGGAACTCGCGGTCAATCTGGCCAGAGAAATTTCCCTACGTTTCCACTGGACACCGTCGCATTCTGGTAATGCGAAAACCGACGCCGCGGATCAACTTGCGAAGGCCGCCGCCACCGACCAGGCGACTGCACCCATTTATAGTTTGGCGCCCAGGGCACTCATCAAGCGACGTCTACGCAATCTTTCCCTGGAGGCTTGGAAAGAACGATGGACGACTGCTACAACCGGAAGGACTACGGCGAGCTTCCTACCGGATCCCTGTTACGACAGGAAAATCACGGGAGATTTTGACCTCTATATGGTACAGCTTATGACAGGACAGGGGAACTTTAATGCATACTTGAAACGTATCGGGAAAATCGACAACGATTTGTGTGAGTGTGGTGGCACCGATACAGCGGAGCACGTCCTTTTTAACTGCGTTCTTTTTGCTCAACAACGAGGAGTTGCCGACCGGGCCCTCGCGGCCCGCTGTTTAAAATGGACGACCAATTATCGGGAGGTCACCGAACTGCGGGACGAGAGGGACTGGCGGGACGCTTTTCGCTCTTTTTCAAATCGCGTTGATAAGCTGAAAGTCAATTAAAATGCCCTCGCGATGTGCGCGTTCGGGTTCGTTCGTTTGTGTTCTTTACAATTACAACCGGTATGTTTCTACGCGTTCGTGCAAGTTCGGCTCGGTCCGGTACTCCGACATACACTCGTCGTCGTTTCGGGCTCGCGGTCGCGGTCGCGGCCCCGTGGGAACGCTGTAGAGACCAGGACGCTGCGGAAGACAGAAGCTTGCACCCCCATCCGTCTCACCCCGCTGTCAAAAACAAGCGCGGTGGACATGGAACAGCACCACAGCGGTCGCGGACCAGAAGAGCATGGATGACTGAAGCCTGCACCGCCATTTGGCTCAACCCGTTATCAAGCCCAAGCGCGGTGGATATGGAACAGCACCAGGACTCGGAACCTCCAAGACAACTTGGCTTCGGGAAAGCGATGAAACGCTCGCAATATACAAAAATCACGAGTAATATTCTTTCGTCGGGTCTTTTTCGCGCTTTCGCGTTTTACCTCGAGCTCGAAATCATATTTCGCGTCGTTATACAACCCGACAGTGTTTGTCGATTCAGCGGATAGTGCTATCTTTGATTGCTCGCAGCCGGACTAACCAAAATTCAAAATTACTGCGTAAATATTATTCGGGGTTCTTTATTGTAAATAATCGACAGCGAACTTTCGAGTTCTGCTTTTGTAAATCATGTAAATATTTACGTGTGCCTTATATTTTACAATATTTGGCGGGAAAGCAAGGAAAGTTTTTTTTTGTACTGTTTGATTAAACATTAAATATAGTAAAATGTAAATATTATTTTGGTGAAGAACGCCGCTGTAGTACCTTCGGGTGGAGCAGCGGCACTGCTGTAAACATGTTCTACCAATAAATAGTATTGCCAATTCAACCGCAAACAATCGACGGGAGCGATTTTTCTGGACATCTCCAAGGCCTTCGATAAGGTATGGCACAACGGGCTAAACTTTTCTGTGCAGGTTTTCACCCAGGTCTGGTTAAAACTATTGCCTCGTTCCTCCGAGACCGCAGGTTTGCTGTGCGATTGGAAAACGTTAGCTCTAATCCCCGCAAGATGGAAGCCGGAACACCCCAGGGATCACCGCTATCGCCACTTTTGTATGCAGTCTATACTGCAGACACATCAAGGACTGCAGGCATGACGCTTGCCCTCTACGCTGACGACACCGCTGTGATGACCAGATCCCTAGCACCTCGCTTGGTCACCGCACGCCTACAGGAAGCCGCCGATAAGTTGGAGGAGTGGTGCAGGAGCTGGCGTATAGCGGTGAACACGAAAAAGAGCAGCGCGATTTTCCTCACCAAAAGAGGACAGATCCCGACCGGCCACGTAACCCTATTCGGCCGCCAGATCCCGTGAAAGACCGAAGTCAAGTACGTTGGTGTCAAGCTAGACCGCGGACTAACTTGGAAGCATCACACCGACTATTGCGTTCGTAACGCATCGGCAGTGATGTCTCTCCTTTATCCGCTACTGAACCGAAGGAGCACACTCAGCCTTAGTAACAAACTGCGGTTGTACACATCTATTATTCGGCCGGTGATGACGTACGCCGCTCC